TAGTTCCCAGCCCCCCTCCCCTCTTACTATTTGCTTACTCCTCCCCCTCTCCCAGGCCCCTTGCCATTCTTCACAGGAGCCAGAAGCCAACTCTCTGTGGTGGCCAGTGCCTTTCCATGGTCAGTCCTAGGTGGGACCCAGAATCTGAGCAGGGAGGTGGAGTTGGGGCTCCAGGACAACATTCAGAGGCTCTGCTCAGCTCCATAACCCTGAGCTTATCATGGGCACAGTACCAGGTCGGGTCTTCCCTGGGGCCCCAGGAGACCCATTTGGGGAGGCCGAATGACCAGGCCTCTTTCTCTTAACCACGTTAGTGAGTCCTGTAGCTCTCAGTGTGTGCATGCTACCTGTGTTGCAGGAAGGATCAGGCAGGAGGCTGGGAATACAGGAAGCAGGTATTTTATTTAGGCTGCAGCCTGGTCCAGAGGGCTCAAGCCTCAAAATCTGGACCCCCCCCCCAAATGGAAGTAGCCCATATCTTTTATACCTTAGGCTTTGGGTTACAGTGAGACGGAGACTTACATATTGATTGGCTATCAGGAAAGTCTCAATACCAGACAAATTATTATAATTAAAAAAAATTTATTTTATGTGTATTCATGTATTGTCTGCATGTGTGTAAGTGCACTTGTGTTATACAATGCCTGAGGAGGACAGAAGAGGCCACTGAATCCCCTGGAACTGCAGTTACAGACAGACAGTTGTTAGTAGCCATGTGGGTGCAGAGATTCGAACTCAGGTCTTCTGCAAGAACAGGCAGTGTTCTTAACCACTGAGCCATTTCTCCAGCCCCCAAATTATTATAAATTTAGAAAATAAACAAAGCTAAATAAATCCCTGTCTGAAAGTCATTGCAGAAGTGTCCATCTGAGACAAACAGTTGAGAGTCAGGATACAAGGCAAATGGTTCTGGCTAGCTGTCAGTGTTCTAACCACAAGCTTGTCGGAACCTTGCTGATGGAGACACAGAGAGAAAGCAAGGATTAAAATCCATATTTTCCTTAAATTCCATCAGGTTCTACATCACCAGAAGTGTCTTACATTTTGTTTGGGAGTCCACAGAAGTGGGATTCCACTGACATGAAGTACATGGGGGGGGCTTTCCAGGCCCTGAGGGTGGAGCTCCACCCTGCCCTCCTCCTGAGACAGGCAGAAACACAACAGGCCCAGCTGACCCTGCTGAAAAGTAAAGTGATGTGGGTAGCCTCAGTTGATTAGGGATAAGGGCCCTGGCAATGCACCCAGCTCTTAAGCCACCATCAATTTAAAACCACTAGACCTGCCGCATTCCACAACTGACCTGGCCATACTCCACAACTGAGCCCCCATGTCCTTGAGCTGTTGCTCCCTCTGACCTTCGCATACTTGGCCTTTCCAGCAGATGCCAGGCTCTTGGTCCAACAACCCCATACTGTGTCTTTCAGATTTCTCCCTCTAAAACAGAACGAAGACTATGACATACGATGGGGTCCCGGCATATGTGCCAAGGCCCCTTCCAAACCAGACTGGGTCCCAGCCAGTCACCTGAGGCCTATGAGCTGCTTAGGTGCTCTGGGTAGGCAGGGCCTCCAGGTGCTCTGAAGACTTGCTGGGCTTGGCAGAGAGGGAAAGGGAAGAGGGCAGGGCCCAGTCCCTGATAAGAGCTCACAGGGGTCCAAGGAACCCCTGGAAGCTGGGGGCAGAGGCCCAGGCTGCTCTGGCCACCCAGTGTTGGGGTATGGGGGAGGGAAGTTGAGGATAGACTCTCAGTGATGAGCCTGACCTTCAGGCTGGGGACCCTTAGAGGTCATGGGCAGAAGCAGTGGGGGGCAGGGGCAAGAGTTACTGGGGAAACCAAGATTTCCTGTGGGTTCTTAGTCTCATTAATTTTTAAACAGACTCATTAGGAAGCTGGAGGACACTTGCACTAAAGTTTGGGAGAAAGACCACAGGATAGGTTAGCTGGAAATTCCAGCAGCTACCAATGAGGGGTGACAGAGAAAGGACACGCCTTTGAAACTGACAGCCTGGGAGGAATGAAACTTCCCCACTACCCCCCAGGTGAGGGTCAAACCCATTACCTTGTATTTACTAGGCAAGTGGCAAGCACTCTAGCACTGAGAGAAATCCCTAACCCCTAAGCTGATTGTGCATTGACTGGGGATGGAACCTTGACCACCCTCATGCTAGGTAAGGATTCTACCTCTGAGCCACCACTCCTTTGATTCTTTGCCCCTCCTTTTCTCTCTTTGACTCTCAGAAGCAGTGGACCCCCAAAATTGGAATTTCCCTAGGAATCCCCAGTTGCAGGAAGTAAAGGCTTTAGGAGAAGCAAAGTTCTCAGATCTCCAGGAAGAGACTTGGAGCTAAGACCAGGATCAGCCCTGGCTGGATGGCTCCTGTATAACCCTCGTGTTAGAACCCCTGAAGATGGATGTGGGGTAGGGGAGGGCGCCCCTAGATCTCTGTCCCTCTCCCCAGTGTCACTACATTGAGTTCAATCTTTTTCTTTGTGCTGGTAATCTGGTTCTTTTAATTGGCTAATTGAGACTGATGGCAGAACATGATGTGGTACAAGCTGTGGTGGTCACGGAAAACATGCTTAGGCTTTCAGCCAGCATCCAAAACATAAAAAGGGAAGCACCTGCTTGGTGTCAGCTGGGGGTCTGAACTGAGAGGGTACCCCACTGACAGAATGTGTGAACTGCAGGAGAGCCATAGCCTCATTAGGGAAGAATAAAACCATAAATCCCTTTAAATGGTCAACTGGTCCTAAATTAGGCAGGCTGGCCTTGTTCAAGCCTTGTCAAATGGTCACTACCAGGACTGAAGGAGACCGTTTATGGAGCCAACCAGCCTCCTTTAGGGCCCTAGACAGCTCACCTGCCCTGCCTGAGAAAATCATCTTGGGAGGAAGACCTTCAGTTACCCAAGGACAGCAGATGGTGGCACAGAGTAAAGTCCTGCAGCTGTGCTCAGTAGAATCCATATAAACCCCCAAGCCTCCTCTCCTTAGTTGTAGATGCTTTCTTCCCAAGGAAAAGCTTCTGCCCTTTGCTGTGATACCTGAATAAACACATTCCCTGCCTGCTGCAGGTCTGGCTCTTACTTCTAAACTCTAAACGCCTTCGTTTTCTGCACTCCTAAATCTAACAGCCATTCCAGGCTCTTGTGCCCTGGGACCAAAGACCGCACCAGGGACACGTGGTTAGAATTAGAAAGACACAGTATTAAGAAACGGAAACCACTTCCAGGAATGGGAGTGGTTTAGTAAGCTGTGGAAGTCACCCGCCACCCCCCAGCATCCCATCATGAGGTGTATACCTTTTCAGGACCTTTACATTGCTTTGGCCTCTTTCCAGCTTGAACAGAGTGGCTGCCTTCTCGCAGGCTGTTTGCTGTATGAAGTCTCTAGTTCCCACTAGCTCATCACTAGAGCATTTTAGAGACAGGGTCAGATAGATGCTAGGGGACCTATTCTCAGAAGCCAGTGGATAGGGGGTTACGAACACCGGGAAGAATGGTCAGGGCTTGGAGTCAGGCCAGGCCCAGAACCATCAGAGAAGTGCACTGCACGCCCTTCACCCGCCCTTTCCAGCCTCCAAACTTCAAGAAATTGAAGCTCAGATACGGTTTCTTCCTCCTCCTCCTTCAGGAAAGAGAAACTCGGCCCCTGGGAAAGGTGGTGGCCCCTCCTCCTCCTCCAATTCTCTCTCCCTCCTACCAGTCCCAAACCCAATCTTTTCCTAACTGCATACCTCCCCACCCCCAGGAAGGGCGGGGGGAGCATGGCACGACACAACCACCTGTGGGCACCCACTGCCCCAAGTCAGGGCTTAATCTACCTCATCTTGAAAAGATGTTGCCCTGAAGCCTAGAGCAGAGCATGGCCCGAGGGTCCCGACTACTGAAGATAACTGGCCTTAACTCTCTGGCCCTTGTGAGACACCTCCCCTAACACACAGGGAGCCAAGTCAGGTCTAGGAGGAACCCAGAGCTTGCTGGGTGTCCCCGCCAACACTTATGCTCTAAGCTCTAAGTCTCAAAGGTCACAGTTTAAAGACCTTTCCCAGGGCTGGCCAGGTCTCATCTAGGCTGGTTGCTCCTCCAAAACTTTCAGGTACGGCTCACAGGAGTCTTGGTTTGAGCAACAAGGTCACCACCTTCATAGGTCCACCCTAGCCCTTGTGACGTCCCCATCCGCCACCCCAAGGGACAGCATTCCTAAGACCTGGAGCTGTGTGGACAACATTCAGTAATGGTACCTCCCACCTGCCCAGAGACTTGAGAGGTCTGAGAAGCAGTCTGCACAGGCACCCAGACCCTGTGTGGCACTTCAAGATATGCCCCCACTGGTCCCTGTCCCTTAACACCCATAGCAACAAACCCCGCAAGGCCAAGGGTAGTGGCACACGCCTGTTAACCCCAGCATTTGGGAGGCAGAGTCAGGAGGATCAGTGCAGTTTGAGGCCAGCTGGCGAGATGTCTTAAAATAACAGAAAAGGGGTAGGTGGCGGGGAGGTCCAAATAAGCCAACCAAAATCAACGTGAGTTGTGGGGTGGGCACACGTCACTTGCCTGGGCCATATTTAGACTGGTCCACAGCTTAGACCAGTGTCTAAGGACAGGTGTCCCTGGTGCAGAGAGTTTGGGAATAACATGTTGTTGGCTTAGTTGGGCCCTTTATGAGGAGACCCCAAATACCCTGGGGATGGTGGCTCCATAAGCTGAGCCCCAGGCTAGGACTGTATTACACAAGCCAGGCACCATCACATCCGAGACCAGGATGCTGCCTGCCCCTAAATGCTCCAATGGGAAGCTATGCTTCTCAGACGACTCATCAGCCCGGGGCAGTACAAACTGACTGCGAGCTCGTTTCAGGGTCTCTTAAGCAAGGCTATGGGTTTGCTGAATCCCCAGGTCCCTGTGACATGGAATACAGGTTCCTCCCTGTCCCACTGGGGTGGAGAGTAAGATCCTGAAAGGAGGGAGGGGCAGGGTTAACCAGGGCAGAGCATGAATGGGTGGTAACAGTTTATTTGAGGCACCAGAGTAGCAGCAGGAAACCAGTGTGGGCAGAGGAGAGGGAGGCAGGGACTTGGCTGGATCTGGAGGTGAGAGCCACTTCTGGAAGTGAGCACAACATGGGCCCAGAGATGCCAGGGGAAGGGGCTTTGGTGGAGAGCAGGGCTCCTCTGCTCCAGAACCTTCCAGGTCTTCTCTGCCCAGCCCAGCATCCAAGTGACCTCATTTACACATAGACATACAGAGCACACCCCCTTCCTCATTTGGCACATGCCGGAGACTTGGGACTTAGATGGCCCCAGTGTGTCCACAGGATTCCGTCCTGACCCTGGTACCCTACAATTCTAAAGAGACTCTCGTCCCTTCCCCTGTCCCCCTAAGGGAGGTCACATGACTGACCCTTGTAAACAAGGGCAGCTGGTTTGAGACAGAGCGGGTGTGGGTGCTTAGCCTTGCTGAGGGTGGGGACTAGGCACACCCAGGAGGAGCAAGAGGCTCCTAGGGTCTCCTGGGACCTGGAAGGGGCTGGGATTTTTTTCCTGAGCTGAGGGAGTATGGGAAGGAAGGGTTGGGGTATTCAGGGGCCCAGCTGCAGCAGAGCCACCAGGCTGAGCAGGAGTCCAAGGCCCAGCAGCGTGACGCTGGCATGCAGCCCCCGGCTGGCTGTGCTGAAATTGCAGAAGGAGTATTCGCAGCAGCGGCTGTCTACCGTCAGCACACCGTAGCCGAAATCCACTTTCTTTGTAGGGCAGATAGGGGCGCAGCCCTTATTCAGAGTGTAGCCAAAGTTGAGATTCCCTGTGTGGAAAACAAGTCTGAGGGGACAGACAGACAAACGGGCAGCAGGAGAGCGGGGGAGCCCCTGCTGAACCTGGCCCACGCCAGTTGGGAACAATGCTCACCAAGGCCAGCAGAGGCAGATAGGGTGTAACAGTAACTGTCTGTGCTCGAGCACTTGACCGGCCACAGGCAGTGCCAGTTGCTCTTCTGATCCTCGCAGGAGTAGCAGTACAGGGAATGGACTGCAAGGGAAGGGACACCGTTCAATGACACTTGCCTCCTCCCTGTGGAAGCCTCCAGGGTGCCTTCCCAGTGGGACCCTTGAGACCATGAAGGAGAGTTCCCCCAAAAGAAGTCAACCCTTCAAACTGAACCTCCAGCAAGGCCGATTAAGTGATTAGAACGTCACTGATTGCGTTGACTTTGGAATGCTCCAAGTTCAGAGCCTAATCACAAACTACCTTGGGGCATCCTTGGTTTCCTTAGCGGCCGTTTATTGCCCTCCCCTACCTTTGTGACCAACACTTGGAATGTCCCGTACAGCACTAGCTTTCCTTTGGAATGTATGAACTTAGCAGACCGACCCATAAGCTAAGAGCATTACCAGAGAGCATCTGGGAAGTTTCTTCACTTTGCAGTACCCGCCTCTCTGATGTCTCGCTCCCAGTATTTGAAAAGTGCATTGACTTATGACTTTCTTTGTTCTGTTACTATAAAAATCCTTGTAAAACTGCTTCCATGTTTTAGATGGAATTTGGGGTAACCTAAATCTATGTTCCCAAGACCATGGCCACTCACCACTGGCTTCAGAATAAAGGGTTTCTTTAAGATGAGACCATGGCCACTTACCACTGGCTTCAGAATAAAGGGTCTCTTTAAGATGAGAGTTGTTTCTGCATCAACAACACTCAATCGTTTGCTGACACTTACTGAGCAACTACTATATGCTAGGCCCTGGGCTAGAGACCAAACCAGAACAATAATACGTGACATGAGACTTTGGCCCTGGAGCGACTTACGTGACTTTCTAAACACAATGTGACAACAGTGTGCCAGGCCAGAATTGAGGCAGGAGAACTGAGTCACTTTGCTAGGGGGTGGGGAGCAGCAGGCCCAAAGAAGGAGCCCCAGGCATCTGCTTGGCGGATCTAGGAGTGCAGGTCACTAGGAGTGGAGGTCAGGACAAAGGTAAGACTGCAAAATATCTGGGGTCTCAGAGCTCTGTACCTCGCTCCACACCCAAAAGGGCTCCCAACAGCACTGGCAAGAGGACTCTCATGCTGGAGGTGGTGGACATCCACTGCGGGCTTCAAAGAAGTCTGTCTTGCTGTGAGAGAGGCAGTTGGTTAAAGGACAGGCAGCCCACTCTACGCTCAGGGTTCCAACTCAGAAAAGCACCAGCTCTCGGCCTGCCCACCCCATTCCTTCCCATTGGGCCACATGCACCCTTTGTGGATGGAGACCTGCCAGCATCCAGCGGCAAGACAGACAGAGGGGTCTGGTCTTCCTGACTGGCCCTCACCCTGCATGGGTACTTCTCCCAACTAACAGGCCTCTTTTAGCAGCTTCTCTCCCTTAGATTATCAACAAAGAGCTGAAGGGCAGCCTGATAGGCTGTCAGAGCATTCAGGCTCCAGGCAGGGCCGGAAAGCAACGCTAGCCCGGTGCAGCTACTGTGCTGTGAGACAGGTTGATTTACTGCCCTGTTCCTTATCTGGTGTCTTCCTGACTCCTGCACCATCAGAAGAGCAGTTTGTACTGCCTGAAGTCAGCCATGCACCAGTCACATGTACCTAGAAATACAGGCCATATAGTCCCCTCCCCCTTTAGAGCAAAGAATTTCCTTTGTCCCAAGGACTGCAGCTACAGTCCTGGCCTCAGAACTCCTGCCCCCTCCCACTGCAGTTGTGGCTGCAGTTTTTAGGAGACCTTTTACCTCGACTCTGTCTCAGTGCCTGCAGAATTTTTCTCCCAACTTGTCTAACAGTACCTTCCCGTTAACATCTCTTCCCAAACTCAGGGGCACGTGAAGTCAAGTAAGGGGTACCATCTCTTTCAGGATCCTATAGAGATGAAGGCTTAGGAGTGGTCCTGAGTGGTGGTGGTGGGGTATCTGCCAAATTAGCAAGTATGAACCATAAATCTCTGGGCCTTGCAAGACTTGAATGCAGGCCACTCTCTTGAAGTAGGGACCCAGGAGCTGGGGGCATCTTGGCCTCAAGCTGTCCCCTCTGCAGCTAGAAGGGATGGAAGGGGCTATGGGAGCACTTCCATTTGCCATGTCGAGGCGACAGCTCCATTCCTCACCTGTGTCTGGGAAAGGCTTAGACAAGCTATCTGCAGCAGGCAACACATTCGCCAGCCAGGCGGGCCAAGGGGTCTGTGACACTGGGTAGAAAAGCTGGAAACAGGCCAGCCAGCTGGGTTTTAATTTCCCATCCTGTACCACCAGCCTCCTGGTGTGGGAGGCGTCTGGTGCCATCTGCTGGGTGGGAGGGGCATCCCAGAGACTGAGCGGATAGGGAGGGGGTGTCTTACAGATTTTGGAAGGGCCCCAGAGAATGGGGTGGGAAGTTGTTGCTGGTGTGTCCTACACCGCCTGTCCAGTCCTGAACCTTGTTGTTATCTTAGGATGGGAAGAAGAAGCCCCAGATGGTCAAGTTCAGTGCCAAGCCAGGCTAGGCTAGTCTCTCCCTCTGGAAGGCAGTAAAGCCTACAAGGGGGAAGTTTTCCAGTAGCCCCCATACACGCAGACGTTTTGGCATGCAGGAGCCCTGAGCTGTCGCCTAGGAAGCTCTGGCACGCACAGTCACAAACAGGTCCTGGCAGCCCATCGTCCACCCTGAAGGCTCACCAAGAGCTAGAACAGCTGAGTGGAGGTAGCAGAATGCACGGAAAGCATTTGAGGGGCGAGTCTGTCCGAAGCTGCTGTCTGCAGGCTGACAGCCTTACCACTTACCAGGGGCCCCAAGAGCTCCTTCGCAGACTCCAGCGGCTCACCTGCGGAAAATCCAGGTGTCGGGAGGCTGCAGGGAGGAGCCTGACAAGTCCCCAGGGACGGGAGGCGACCAGGCGTTACCTCCGGAAGCTTCGCATTGGTATGCAAAACCCAGGACTAGACAAAGAACTCCGCTCCCCACCCAAGCGCAGGGTCCTGCCACCGGGCAACCAATCCTCCCGCTCCCGCTCTCCTGCAGAGGCTGGTCTAGGGCTCCGTGCCTCGGGCACTATTTTACCAGGGTGTAACCCTGGAGACCCCCACAGTGCCTGATGGAGTTGGAAGAGGGGGCGCTTGGCAGGGCCCTTCGTCCTCCCCCGCCCCAGAGCTCCAGAAATATTCTGGGAGGACTGGTGGACGGCAGCCCGCGATTCCCAGCCTTCCGGTTACCGCCGGTCTCGCTCGCTCCCGCCCCTCGGTAGCCCCTGGACCCGGTGCACTGGGGCCAAGGCCGGCCGCCCATCCTCCCGCGGGGCAGGCTCCAAGCCGGTCCCGCAGACTCACCTCCGGCCTGGAGCACCTCCGCAAACCTGGAGACCGCAGACCGCGCGGAGACGCGGGGCAGGCCCGACGCTGCAGGCGCGGGCGCGGTGGGCGGGACGTTTCACCGGGTGGGGGCGGTTCCCGGCGGAGAGGACCGCCCCGAATGGCCTCTGGGGTCCCGAGACTGCGCCCAGCCTGGCAGCGTGGTGCTTCCGCGTTCGGTCCCCGGGGCCCCTGGGGTACTCAGAAGGGGCTGAGGCCGCCCCGAGCTCCCCAGCCCGAGTCTGGCAGGGGGACCGGCCTCCTTCCTCTCCGGCTGCTTCCCACCTGGTGTCTCTGCTCTTCTTCCCGGGCCTGGTGGACCTTGGGAGGATGGAAGGACCTGTGCGCAGGCTCTGTGCGGGGGCGCCTGGGCCTGGGTGGAGCAACGGCCTCGCTTCCCGATGCCATAGATACTCATGGGTATTAGGGTTTCAAACAGCAGCAGTTCCCCACCCACCACCACCACCACCACCACCAGCAGCAGACCTATGGACTTCGGATTTTCAAGCCTGAAAAAGGGAACTGAGCTGAAAGGCACCTTGGCCTTTGAAGTCAAGGGAAGCAGATTCTTCTAAGAGGCAGCCTGCCTTTCCTCTGATCTCCAAAGACAAGATAAGCAGATTCTGCCTGTTAACCAGAGATTTTAGGAGCTGTTTAGCACAGCAGCTTTTCCCTTATCTTAAGAGGACAGAAAAATAAACACTTCCTGACCCAGATCCTGGCTGGCAGACAGAACAGAGCCAGGTTTACAAGCCCTGCTTTTCCTGCTCCCCTTGATTTTCCCCCGAAAAACTTACCCTCTTCTGCACCCTGAAGCCCCTGTGTGTAAGCCCTAGCTCACAACCCTTGGGCTATTTTCCCCTCCCTGAGGGGAACGTGTCCAGTGTGAAATAAAGCTCTATCGCGCTGAGAGTTTTATCTGTGTCTTGGTGCCTCATCCTCCATTCGCTTGTTCTCACGCAATTTTTTACCTATCAGTGGGAATCTCGGCTGTTCCCGGACTGAAGAAGTGGAAGACTTGGTGCGGCCTCATCTGGCCCTGCTGGGTTCCTTGGCCTCAGGTCCTCCCAAGGTTGAGCCAGTTCTGGGCCATCCCACGCTAGGGGTGAGATGACAGGACAGGGTTGCTGCTGCCGCACTGGTTTGGGTAGATCTGGATCTCACACCTCCCTCTGGGTGCAGGGTTGCCCTCTACACTCCGTGGGTTTAGCACCTGGTCCCCAGCTCAGTCTGACCTGGTCCCCATTAGATGCTGAGGCCCCAGTGGACCCAGTTGAAGGAATTCTCCAACCCTGCCCTTTTTCTTGCCTAAGCATCTTGCTTTTAAAAAATATTTTCTTTATTATTTTATGTGTATGAGTGTATTGCCTGGATGTAGGTAAGTGCATGTATGTGTCGTGCAGTGCCTGAAGAGGTCAGAAGAGGGCGTCAGATCCACTGGAGCTGGAGCTACAGATGGTTGTTAGCTGCATGTGGGTGCTGGGAACCCAAACCAGGTCCTCTACAAGAGCAGTCAGTGCCCTTAACGGCTGCGCCATCTCCAATAGTCTTGTCTCTAATGCCTACCCAATAGACATTATGGAGCACAGGCTGAGTGTGGGCCCTGTGTCCTGCTTCTGGCTGGCCCATCTGGGGAGATCAGAGCACCAAGTTAGTGGGCAGTGGGCTTAGGCAACAGGCCCTTCTACCTGACAGGGCTGCTTGTCCCCTCCCTTCCCTCTTTCCCCAGAGCCCTGCATGTGAGGGAGGAGGAGGAGGAGGGTTATAAGCTGCTGAGTCTGCCACCTGCTTTTCTGAGCATCACACTTCCACATGTAGCACATTTCCTGGGGAAGGTTCCGCACCAGACTTTGTCTGAGTTGTTGGCTGTAGTGACAAGGGAGGGCCTCAGGGAAGGGACTCCACAGGGTTGGGGGTAGTGGAGGTGTGAGGCTGGATGGTTGTGGAGCAATTTCCTCTGCCATAAAACCTTCCATCTTGGCAGAAACCTTGCTCAGGATGTTCTAAAGGCAGGAAATGTTCTACCTGCTGGGAAGCTCATTAAGACTCAGATGTTTGAGGGAAAGGTGAACCATTCCATCCTCAGGGAAGCTGTTAGTGAAGTAAACACCTCAAAGGCTTCAGGAAACCTCTGAAACTGGCCAGACACACTAGGCCCCACACTTTCCAAACATATATAAGCAGTAAGGTCTGCAGAGAGACTCAGACCACCCGAGCTGCCTGAAGGACACCCTCCAGCCTATTGAGCTGCGGGTTGAGCCAACAACCAGCTTTCAGGAGCTGTTACCCACGCTGGGGTGGACTTTCAGTGATGTAGGTAGCTTTGAGTCATTTCTGTTCCTGTAAGTAACCCCAGTGAAACTCACTGGTTCACTAAAGTCCACTGTGGCAGTTCCCTATCTGGGCTAAGTACACATTTGTTCAGGTCTTCCCATGATTCATGTTGCAACAATGGTAGATTGGCCAGGTGGGGTTGGGGCCAAGATCCCCTGCAACGGGAAGTCAGCTATTGGGGGACTAGGAGCCCTGTTTAGTGTAAGTAGCGGTGGTATGGTACGTGTCAGTGGGTATGTGTGTTTTCAGAGTTTGGGCTGGCTCAAGTTTTCTTTGTGTGTTCTCTTAGAGATACCCCCTCACAGGATCAAAGGCTAGGGCAACTGGGGGGACATACCTGGTGCTCATTCTTAGGGATTAGTGATAGAATATGCGAACCTCAGAAAAACCATGAGCTTCCTTAGAGGAAGCCATAAAGGCATAAAAACAATCAGAGTGGCCAAAAGGTGCTAAATTGTAAAAGTACAGTTTCCCCAGTGACCTAACAGCTATGGATTAAAGACCTGGCTCTGCTCATCCCTTATCAGTTGGTCACTCCCAAGCCAGTGAGGAAATGTGTGTGGAGCCCACCTGTCTCCTCTAAGGCCATAGATAACATTCCTGCCAGTTCCTGGGGAAATAATCTTGAGAAGACCTTTAAGCCTGGGCATTAACTCGAATCCCCACTAAGTGTAGTTGTGTTCTGTTAAGGTTCAGATAGCCCTGCCCCCTCACCAACAGGATCCCAAGGACTTCGCATGCTCCTGAGAAAAGGGAACCTAGCTGATAAGCACCTTGGTCTTTGAAGTCAAGAGAAGCAGACTTTTCTCCACTGTTTGGCCAACACAGCAGGCTTCCCCTTTGATCTCTAAAGAGGACAGGTTTTAACAGTCCTGCTTTCCCACTCCCCCCCAACTTAAAAAAAATACATCTTCCCACCTTCTGCAGGAAGCAGAAGCCTCCCTTTAAAAAAGACCCCAGCTCAAGACTTGGGCAGACATTTTCCCTGCCAGGAAGGGAATCTGTCCCATGCGTTCCTTTGCTAATAAACCCTGTTTTGATGGAGTTTTATCTGTGCCTCAGTGCCTCATCCTCCATTCGCTCATTCTCCGCCAACTTTTTACCTATCATGTTCCACCCCCCACCCCCACCCCCCTGGTTTCTTTGTCTAGTTGTAGAAGCTTGGTTCCCGTGGACAGCCTCCACCTCTCACTGTGTCCTCTTTGAATACAGGAAGATTGATTCCTGGCCTGTCGCAGGTCTGGCTCTGGTTCCTTGTCTCCTGCTCCTCTATCTTTCCTTTTATTTTCCAAAAATCTAACACTCAGAGTCTGTCACAAATATCCAGGCTGCAATATGATGACATTTGTGGGTTGGGGGTCTACAGATTGGGGTGATGTCCCAGGTGTCCCCAGAACAAGAGCTATCCAACAGGCAGTGGCCAGGGTGTTACTGTGTATCTGGGTCCTTGGCTCTCTGCCACCCCTCACCCTTTACCCCCACTCCCCCACCTAAGGCAGGGCAGCTCTGAGTGGCCAAGGATGGATCATGTCTTTACCGTAGAGGTCTTTCTCATAGTTCTGTCACGGACTGCTCCAATGATCTAGAGTTTGGATCCACCCGCCTGGAAAAAGAATTTAACTTCTGTCCCCTAGCGCCACACATCCTTTAGGTTTTCCCTTCTTACTGTTTTGCTACTTCCTTAGTGCCTGTCAACCAGAATGCCACTCCCGAGGGCTCAGGACTTCATCTAGAACCATGTAAGGCCCATAGTAGGTGCCTAATAAGTATTTGTAGTGATGAGGTCATGGGTGTCCCATCTGGACAGGCCCCTCTGACCTGGAAGACAATCTGCATCAGGAGGGACCTTAGTGATTCTGGATACCCAGCTCACAAAGTGTCCCAAGGTCTCTGCTGTGGATGAGCCACGAGGCCGGGACGCCTCTGAAATTCTGTCTGGAGGAGCTAGCTGTGCAGTCAGCCAGGAATTGCCAATGCTGTGGTCCATGGGGTCACAGGAGTCTTGCTTCGACCACCCTCAATGCTGTGCAGGTAGGGAGAATCTGTGTGGCAGGTGCTAAGCTTACACAGGCAGCATGGCTGACAATGGAGACCATGTCTCCCAGAAGGACTCTCCCTATGTAGACCCAGGAGTTGCTAGCCAGAGCCGTAGTGACACCAGGAGTTTCCACAAAATAGGCAGACCTAGCTGTACTGAAGCCACTCTCGTTCTGTCCTTTAAACTCCGACTCTAGTAGTTAGGACACTTGCGGCTCACGGAGGCACCGTTGGAATGGCTGGGTACTGTCTTTCTGCTGTGTGACACTATTTCCGGGGAGATGTGAACAAACATCTACTCACCCCAGATAAGGAACCAATGACAGTCCAAAGTAAGGATACCATCACAATCCAACTTGGTGAACCAATGAGTCTTACTGGGGTTACTTACAGAGATACAGGTGAGGGGTTCAACTCAGCACAACTTACCAACTTAGAGTATCTCTCCTGGGCAGCTCAGTAGGCCTGAACCTCTTCCAGGCAGCTTGGCTTGTCTGAGTGTCATTAGGGCTCATATATGCTTGAGGAGGGAGGAACTAGTGAATCTTGTCAGTTTCAGGGACTTCCTGAGCTTAAAGGGCTTCCCTGCAAGATGGAATGTTTGCCTCCACTCAAAATACCCTGTTGTTTACCCAGCTTCAGGTTTGGATTTTTTTGTTTGTTTTTTGTTTTTCCTGGTCTTTTTGAGACAGCCTCCATGTAGCCCCAACTAACATGCTTTGTTGAGCAGGCTTGCCTTGAACTCACAGAGATCTGCCTGCCTCTGCCTCCTGAGTGCTGGGATTAAAGGTGTTTGCTACCATGCCCAGCCTTATTTATTATTTTATGTGTATGAGTATTTTGTCTGCATGTATGTAAGTGCGCCTGTGTCATGCAATGCCTGCAGAGATCAGAAGAGGGTGTCGGAATCCTTGGAACTGTAGTTACAGATGCTTAGCTGCCATGTGGGTGCTGGCAATCAAACTCAGGTCCTCTGCAAGAGCAGCCAGTGCTCCTAATTGATGAACCATCTCTCTAGCCCCAAGATGGAAGGTTTTTATCTCTGAGAAAATTGCTACA